GCAATGAATTCAAACTTTGCATTCATGCATTTGTTCATTTGCTCCTTCACCCATCCATGGTCTTTAATTCAGCGTTAGTTGCATATACAACAATGGCTAAAGCAGACAAGTGCAGTCTCTTATAGAATGCAGTAGTAGAAAATATGAACTTTAAACAAAAAACATATAATTATACAATGTGAAATGTGCTAATGGAAAAAAAATATGTTGCGAGATGAGTGATGATGAATGTTGGCAATACCTCTTTCGCTTTTTCACCAAAGCTCTATTGGGCATTTATTTTTTGTATTGAAACCAATTGCTTTTGTTTCTCTGCTGTTTGTTCAGAACCTACATAGTGTCACTGATGAGCAAACTTACTTAACATGGGATGTCAAGGGTTGGGATAGCCTAAGGTACAGTTTGTGGGTACAGTTAGAAGATGCTCAGTGGCATGATGAAGTAGTTCTAAGAACCATGTGCCCATTCAATGGTGAACTTGAGATTCAATTAAATCTGCTACAAGATACAGACAGCAGTTCACCAATACTTCATTTAGGTAGGAGAATATATGTATATATTTTCCCAGGATTGAACAGAGGCCCTTGCTCATGTTAGGCCAGCAATCTATACCACTGAGCTGTACCCCCAATCCTTAGGGAGGGAAATTCTTACAAGGCTGTTTTGCATATTCAGAAACCTATGGGTCCTAAATTGTCATGCAGTTATAACATAATTTTTAAATAAAATTTTGTATGATATGCATCCTGAAAAATCGCTTCCATTTTATTTGTTACATTCTCAAAAATAGGTATACATTTTGCTAGTGAGGAAAGAATCTGTATTTTACTTTTACAGTGGAAAAATTAAAACATAATTCACTGTGATAGACTCTGTAATAGTTTTCAAATGCCAAAATCTGGACCAGGAAGGCAATTTAACTTTTAGTCATAAATGACACACATTCAAAGTCCACTATATGATTTGTATATGGGCATGAAAAGATATCATAAATACCTGGAAACTTCAATAAATCCAGAAAAAAATTTTCTGTTGTGTGGAAAAGGGCAAGTTTTATTTTTCATTCATGCAATATTTTTAAAATCTGTATTTCTTGTTTTATTGGTAAATCTGGAGAAGCCTTTTTTAGGTAACTGAGAAAGTCAGCACTTTATAATGTTTTGTATTCAGTATTTTTTCTTACTATAAGTTTAGTATTTTGTTCAAATTTTTAAATATTTTTGCCATTCTTGCTATTATTCATAATTCAATTGAAATGAATTTAATACAGTTTTTAAACATTTTCTATTGTTAATGTTTTTTCTTAGTATTTACAACAAAAATTCTTACATATTGAAGGAAAAGATGTTTGTATTCATTTATCCAAAAAAATTTATCATGTGTTTCTTTTGTGCCAATTACTATACTGCTGGAAAAACAAAGTGAACACAACAGAGAAAAATATGTTTTAATTTAGGTAATTAAATTTATATTCTAGTGTGGGGAGACAGATACTTCATAAAATAAGTAAATTATATTTGTACATTAAAAGATGATAACCCTTATAGAGGAACAAAGAAAAAATATATAGTTCATTGCAAAATGCTTTTTATGACTTACTGAACCAAAAGCTTTTCAAAAGTTGAAAACCATACAGGATTCCCAAGATAAAAGGAGTACATTATAATATTAATATTCACATTTGTATATATTTAGCATCATTTATTTTTGTGACACTATATTAGACATTCTCATATCAAAAATTCATTTAATTTCCAATATAACCTCTTGGCGTAGGATTTGTTCCTTCTCCTGTACCTATGAGAAAATCCTACTGTGGAGAGATTAAAGAACTTGGCCTAGTGGATGAAACCAGCAAGTGGTAGAGCCAGAATTGAAATCCAGAGTTTTAATTCCCACTCCTTCTCATATTACACTGTATAGGGCTTCATCCAACACTCACAGTAGTGGATTATAACACTCCACTCTTTGCTTCTAAGGTGATGTAAAGATTTTAGATTTTGAAGTCCTTCCAATAAGAATAACGTGTTTGGTTGCAAAACAACTTTCTTGTCATCTACCGTAGTGATTTCTGGGGAAATATTGTAAAATCTCTATAAAGAAGAAGAGAGAAGCAAGTGACTCAGAAGTTCATAGTATACACATTCAGGAATACACATTCTTTTTAAAATTCTGGTTGTCTCATGTTAAGATGCAGTGGAGGCTAGTGGTTAAATGTATTCTTCCACTAAAGATACATACTTGAAAATGCAGGAGTAATTGGGAGCTTCTGTTTTCCTGAGTGCTGCTATTCACATTTGATAATCCCTCATATGCTGTGTGGTTGACATGATTGTTCACATAGTTTTTATTTCACTTACGCAGTGTGTGCACCTGTCGTTGGACTGGCTAAAACTGTTCTTGCCCTTTGGTATTGGGCCATTCTGCTGATACAGTGTGTTATAAATATTACAAGGGCAGGGGCAGTTTGTATTACAGGATAATACAACATAATTTTACTGACAAGCTCATTTCCTATTTATTCTCTGTAGTCTGAGACATGATTAAAATTTCAGTCCAAATTATAAAGGTTATTACAAAATACGACTGGTGATCATACTTTATTTAGGACAAGCACTATATAAGGTATGCTTGTAAAAGTTAACATTGCTATTGCTTAAATTGATCCTGGTTGGGGGAAAAGAAGTGGTATCTTTCCAAATTAAAATTACAATAACTAAGAGCTTTAAAACATTCTCTGCTCATGTGAAATCCCTGCTACACTTGAGCCAGTAATAGATGGTCATCTTGCGATTATGAAAGAAAATAGTGTGAGAAGGGAATTCTGGATCTTGTGCATTTTGCTTGAGTGACACTGATATATTTGGAGGCATCTGTCTTCCCCTTTCACCTAGACGCCTGTTTGTTTTCTTTGGCTTCCTGAGGGCCACTGGGTTCCCTCTTACCCTCTGTCCAGAGGCTCAACCTGTGTTCAGTTGCAAATACTCCTTGCAAGTTTCTCTGTACAAGGACAGCATTTGCTAGGGAATCATGTCCCAATTTGCAAGTAAATCCTTTAATAACTTCCTCATCAATAAAACATAATACCCTTTAAAAAAGGAAAAGAGCTAATCAAGCACGTTTTCTCAAAGTACCAGGCACGGAAGGTATGATTAGCTAGTGTTCTGTTCCTTTCCATTACGTTGGTCCACACATGTATCAAGTACCTTTGTTAGCATGTGCTAGGCAGAGCTCAAACTTAGAAAGTTTTCCTGATTCATTGCTCTTTATGATGTATTATTATTTAAAAAGACCCCCTATAGCATTTTCTATGTGGCAGGTACTAAAACTCTCCAATCTTCTGGGCTCTTTCAGGAAGAGATGTTGATCATGACCACACAGATAGTGCTGGTGAAGACAAGTGATTTTAGTCCAAGCAGTTTGGCTCCAGTTTGTGTCCTCTGGCATCTCACTAGGCTTGGTCTGTTGATTTTTATGGCAATAGGTTGTAGGTGATGCAAAATAAGATATGGTTCCTACCTTAGAAATGTTTATAAAGTTATTTCTTCTTCATTCCATACATATCTTCAAAAAATTTGATATAGCACTACAGTTCATTAATTTACTAAATACTTTAATTTATTAAGAATGTGGCACATGCTATGTTCTGGGATAGATGTTGGAGACACAGCAACAATGCAGGCCTGGCTTTTTAAGGAGCTGAACTGGAGATGCAATATCCTTTCATAAATGTTAGTAGAAATGATGTATTTAAATAAAAACTTTCTAAAAGAGACAGTATTTGAATACCGAGGGATGGTTTGGAGTTTGATTGATAAATGAATAGAAGAGGAAGGAATTGTAAATAGAATGCACAGTTGTATCTAATGGAGCATGATGGAGATCAGGAATGGAAATGATTCAGATATAACAGAGAAGGAAGACAGGGACTAATTTAATGGTCTTGTGTTCTTTGATAAAGAAGTGGAATTGATTCTATCAATAATGGAAAATAATGAAGAAATTTAACTACTGAAGAAACATGATACATACTGTGTTTTAGGTCCATTAAATGGAGATTGACTGACAGCTGCCATTAGAAGTAATTTGTTTTTTTTTTTTACCAATTCCACCTCATCTTCCTTTCCTCTTTCCTTTGCCCACTCTTTTTTGGCCTCTCATCTGTTGTCCCTGAACTCCATCCAATCTTATCATTCCCTCTGGTGATAAAAGATATCTTTACTTTATCAATGTTTAATCTTGAATTTTCAGAGAAACACTCAGTATCTATCATTAAGCCTTATAATGAATGTCAATTTCAACCTTCTTTCTATTTGTCAATTCAAAAATTCCCTTTGTTAATGGAATTTCAAGTATATTGTGAGAAAGATGACTATTTATATTGGAGAGCAATAAACTACTGTGGGAAGAGCCAAGAATTATGAAACTTCAGTAGGTTTTTTTTTCTCATGCCTGACACCTGGTCCTACATCAGTGATATGCATCCAAGTTTGTGATATCCTTATCAAGAGTAACAGCAGCAGTACCAGTGAATATCTCTAAAGAGCTCCCAGATTCCCTCTCACGTCTACCCCTGCTTGACCATGTCTTTCCAGCATAAAACCTGTTCCCTCTGAGTCTGTTTCCTCTACATGTTTACCTAAATTAGTTATGAAAAGATAACACGATGGAACTCTTTTATAAAAGCACAATGCATGTAGAGTCCTTGTATATGTTTCAGCTAGAGATGAGCGCTAGTTTTCCCCCCACAAGGAACTCTAGATTTTAATAACCTAAAGTTTTCATCTTTTTGTAGCAGTGAGAACAAGTCAGTTCACCTTCAGTTCTTGCACATAAGCTTGTCTATGTCCTTGTCAACCTTTCAGAGAATCTTTTTTATTTCTAGAGAAAAATGTAAAGAATAACTTTCTAAATGGCTTTTGATTTGTGTTAATGATGTCTTTCGAGGGAAATGTGCTAATTTCCCATCTTGAATTTTTATGCCTTCTTTGTTTTCTTAGATTGAAGAATCAATGGAGACACACTTTGGCAGTCATGGTAGAAGGGCCATGCTCTATAGGCCTCCTTCCTACAGCAAAATGGAGCTTCAGCTACACCAGCACATACTTATGCAGCACGACTACACGGTTGTTATCACTGAAGAAAGACCCGAAGCTGGCCTTGGGCTGGGACTGCTAGAACAAGGTCAGGATAATAAAAAGTAACTACCAACATCATTTCACACACAACATAAACAATTTCTAGAATATGGTACTATCTTTCTCAAAAATTTCACAAACACAAATTTTTAATCCATAATCAACTTTCTCATATCATAGAAAACTTAGCTCCTTTTTTTTTGTTTTTAGTTCCTTTCAAGTTTTCTTTAGCTAGATCTCTTTATTTCTGAAATTATTTTGTTTATATTTCTGTGGCATTTCAGAGTTGCATAGTTCATGTTTAAATGCTACATTAAAAATGTTTATGTTTATGAGCCTGAATACATGTTCTTCCCAGCACCAAACTGCTCCATATTTTAAGAAAATTGCCACTTCATTTGACTGCAAGTGGAATGTGCTGGAAATTGTTTCAAGAAGCCAGCTTAAATATGACTCACAGATGACTCTAAATATGAAAGAAGTAAGAATATTTATTATATACACCATTACTTGTCAGGTAATTTTATTTCTATCATTTGAAGAGAAAAATAAGAGACAAGTTTTTAAACAAGTTATTTAAAAAGAAAATTAAGTAGATGATGAGGGTTAAAAGGGCAGAAACAATAACAGCTAACATTTCCAATAACTAACTCTATGGCAGATTCAATCCTCACTCTCCATCCAGGAGCCTATTTAAAACACACTGTAGCCTTCGAAGAGCTAATGACTAGGAAATATTAATTCCCCCAAGCAAGTGACTCACCATGTATCTTACACCAGATGCAGGGGAAGGATGGAAGGGCAGACCTGTGTCTCAACTCTCACTTTCTGTGTTCTTCCTCTTCCTCTCTGTTGCCTTAGTCTCTATTTTGGCCCATCATCCTACACTAGGCTGCCATTGTGAGAGCTACAATGATCTAGAACACTCACTCAACACAAGCAAATCAGACTTTTCTTATTATCATTATGCATTATAGTCATCCTTCAGTATCCAAAGGGACTGTTCAGTATCCAAAGAGACCCCCACAAATACCAAAAAAAAAAAGGCTGAACAAATCCTTTATGAAAAGTGGTGTAGTCTTTACATATGACCTAAACATATGAGCCTGAATACTTAAATCAGCCTTAGATTACTTATAATACCTAATAAACATATTATGATGTACACAGTTCTTATATCACTTAGGGAATCATGACAAGGAAAAAATTCTGTATGTGTTTAGTACAGATGCAATTAAAAAATATTTTCAATTTGTAGTTGGTTGAATCTGTGGATGTGGAACCCATGGATATGAAGAGCTAACTGTATATCTATTTTCCTATTCAATAAAAGGGAGCGGGGAGGGCTGGGGTTGTGGCTCAGTGGTAGAGCACTTTCCTGGTATGTGTAAGGCACTGAATTGGATTCTCAGCACCATATATAAATAAATAAATAAGATAAAGGTCCATTGATAACTATAACTATAAATATATATATATATAATTTTTTTTAAATGGAGTTGGGGGAGAAGCAATTTGAATTAACTGCTGAGATCCATAGGGGTTTCCTTTGGGAGAAAATGATCAGATCTCTGTTTTTTGTTTTTCTAATAATCTTGCTACTATTATAGTGATTCTTTTTCAGTTAGGTGCCCTTTCCTGGAAAGAAAATTGAAAGAAAGTTGGGGAGGTGTTTTGGAAAAAAAAATTAAAAAGGAATATGAAAGCTCTGGAATAGTAATGAGAGCAGAAAATAAAGTTTTCAAACCTCATAGTTTTGCTGGGTTTGGCTCTGCTAAGATCATCAATCTAGGGTTCTGGAACATCCATAAGTGATATGGTCCAAAACCTATTCATCAGATTAATTCTTGTTACAAGGGAAAGATATAGAATGTTTAGTCTCTCTCTTGTCCCACAAAACATCACATCCTGTCACTGAATGGGGCGATTGTGTGGCCTCTGCACACTGTCATGTGAACTGTGCTCCTGAAGTCATGCAAAGTGGTTCTGATGACATGAGACTGTGGTCTAAATTTCATGTATTTCCCTATCTCCTTGGTGCTGCCCCTGACTTACTATGGATGCAACATGGATTATCTGTGCATTTCAACTTTGATTCGATTTCAATTTTCAATTCTCTCCAGCTGCAAAACAGATGGATTACATTTCCTCTTTCCCTTGATGTCTTTGGGTCAGTTTGACAAGTTAAAAAAAAAAAAAAAGATTATTTTGCAGCTTCCAAATATCAAGGAAGTGCAAAGACAGCCTGAAGGCAATAGAATCTGGCAGCCAAAGGAGCTGCTATGCCCAATGGTAGAAGATTCCTATATGATGTCCTCAGCCTTTGCCAGTGCAAATGCTGATTTGGCTTCCTTTTCCCACATTCCCACAGCTCTAAAAACATCTCCTTTCTAACTCTTTCTTGGCATTCTTTTACTCTCTATCACAAGCTATTATTTTTGGATAGGCCTCAAGAAAGGGTAGTAATTTCACGAGTATGGAAAATTGGTTTTTTTTTTTATTTAATTTCATAGTCTTCACTTTAGAGCACTGTGCTTCAAACACCTGAAACAAAACATTTTTTTCTGATTCTAATCTAATATTTACTTGATTTTTTTGTCACACAGAAAAAAACAAGTTTTAAAAATTACACCTTATTTTCCATGGCCATCAATTTAATATATAAATTATATTTGAATCAAGGCACTTATTACAAAAATATTTTCTAGAAATATGATCCTTAGTAGAATTTGCTTTGCTTTAGTGTTGCATTTTTACTTCCTGGTTATTATACTGTGTGCATATGAACAGAGAGCATGAGGCTGTATTGGCACATGTAAACTTAGTCTCCCCAGGGTGAGCAGCCTGGGGGAAGTAGAACTGTCTCAGAATGATCTGAAGCTCTAGTCTATCTACCTTTCATTTTGCCATCATAGTTTCTGCTGTTTGCTGATCTGCAATTTGAAAATATTGCATTAGTCAAAACAAGTAGATACTGCCACAAATGCTACTGAGAACCTAAGTGCAGGATTGACACATTGATAAAATACATTCATGTTTATAGGAAAATAATTATAAAATGTATTTTCCTTTTTGTGCCTGTCCATTCCACCTGCTTTTCTTTCCTCCCCTGACTTGATCCAAATCACTTCTCCTCACTTCTTTCTGTGCCATCCTTTGATGCACAGGTGGTCTTTTTTCAGCTTGGAGCCACTTTCTTTTTTTAACCTTGTGAGAACAGAAAGAATAAAAATTGGAAACAGCAAAAGGATGATAAGCTTCCCAGGCAACACTTTTGTATTAAATATAATCTGTCCTGGTAGAGTAACATTTGGGCATTATATTTTATGATTTTCCTGCCTTTTTAGTAAATACCATTTGAAAAGAAAAGTAGGCAATCTCAGATCCTAAATTAGAATATGGGCTTTATGTTCTTCCTCCTGGTTAATTTCATTCTAGTGGCCTAGCAGAAGTTGATGGCTCTATTGAAAAAGGCTATAGGGCTGTAAATATGTGACCTTAAGAAATTTAAGTTCTCTGAGCCCTCGCTCTCTATTAATAATGGTAGTGATATTTATTTCAGAGAAGTATGTGGTGCAGATTTTTTCACTATGTCCAAACTCATCAAAGTTCTGGGAGGAGGCAAAGCAAAGGCAAGCCAACATTTTATCTTATTTAGTAGTCTGGGAATGGGGCCCATAATTTCATATGATAAAAGCAGATACAGGTAATTCTTATGTGTAACCCAGTTTGGAGAACACTATTCCAAGGGAATTATTATTGATTCAAGAAATGTCAACTCTTAGAATTAATTTTAAAAATAAGATACAGCAAAAATTAGCTTGCTATTAGGCCATTGCAGTACTTATGATTTCACTGTGTAGATATTTACCATCAGTGCTTCATCTTTGTACTGGTTTTGAGAACCCTATAAGGACAAACTGTGTAGAATTAGGCCTACAAAATGTCACAGGATGAAAACATACTTTTATGTTCTTCCAATTCCTTGCTTTGGAAAAAAAAAATATCCTGTGTTTGTGAGAACATATAATTCTCTAAAGAAAAAGATAGAAACGCCATCCAATTATTCTCTTTCCTATTATGTAGGTGCTATTTAGTAAGTCCTTCAGTGCATAGTAACCCAAAAGAGCATAGATATTTTCCAAAAGTTTTGAATCTCCCCAGTGAAATCCAAGTAATACGTGGTCTATGGGACTCTGACTCAGAGTAGATTTTTTTCATTGGTTCAAAATTTTATTTTTGTATAATTGAAGGATAGTGAACATTTAGCAATTTACTTTCAACTTCCAAATACATCCTGTACTTTCAAATTATGTGTATTATGATTCAAGTGAAAAACAAAATGGGAACCTGCTATCAAAGTTGCAGAATTGGAGTCACCTTCATGGTTTCAAATTGCTTTTGTTCTTACAACTTGGGGTTTTTACATAGAATGATTTATGAAGAAATACAAAAAGTGAAATATCTTATTGATTTTCCTTTCAGGGCCTGGAAAATACAGTCCACTGGCCAAACTTGGTATTTTAAGTAATGATATTTTAAGTAATGCTGCTTCACAACCTTTTCCCTCCCAGTTAGGACTCTGTAATTTACCCAAATGTGCTCTGAGAAACACTATTAAAATATAGAGTTAATAGAGCGAGAGATACAGATCTCTACTTAATGTAAAAATAAAGGTTTTGCAAATAAAGGTTTATTGGGACACAGACATAATTTTTTTTTCATTTTATGTTTGGCTTTGCTTTTTGTTCTACAACAATAGAGTTGATTATTTGCAACAGAGACTGTACAGCCCTGAAAGCCTAAAATTTGTATTATTGGACTCTTAAAAAAACAACAAGTTTTCTGACTCTTGTACTCAAACTAATTGGTTGTAATTTGATCCCACACCAAGCTGATTATTAGACTTTATGATTGAGGAATTTAGTTTTTAAACTCATACCACACCTTATTCAAAATGAATTCGATGTATATGATAACAAAATTAGGAAAATGGAAATATAAAACTAGGACCCAAACTGCATATTTCTCTTAGCTACCATAATT